GCCTCTCCCCACTCTGGGATGGCGCCTTTCTACCAGGCCCCTCCCCCACCACATTCAGTGTATTCTGCAAGTGCGGAGCCCTTCCCTAGGTGCTGGGACAAACAAGGATGCAGTCCTTGCCCTCAAAGTGCTTATACTCTACTGGGGTCAAAACGTCAACCAAAGAAAAAGGAGCGGTTCAGAGCCTGCAAGTATCAAGTCAGGTTGCATGGACTGTGTGTTTGGCAATTCAGTCAAGAGCCCCCAGGGAGGATTAAAATAACTTGCAGAGGAGATTGGCACTTGAGCAGGGCTTTGAAGGTGGTAGGAATAAGGAAGGTCACAGAGGGAAATTCTCTGCCAGCAGGGGGATCAGGGGAGTAAAGGCACAAGGGTGAGGAGTAGCTTGAGGTGGGGACAGCAGGTGTCAGAGGAGGAACGTCCTAGCACCAGATGGATGTGGTATGCGGGGATACAGCAAAAAGAGGGACAGATTGGGAGGCTTCCATTCTCCCCGCCGCCGCTTTCCTGCTCTGTCACTGAACCTCTCTTGTCCCCCACTTTCCTCATCATCACCTGCCCCAGTATCCTCACAGGTAGGCATGAGAATAAAGTGAAACCGTTATATGCAGCATTTTGTAGAGAGCAGAGGGGTCTGCAGCGCTGGGCGCCAGCTTTGATAGACGGGGGCGCTTAAAAGGACCAGCAGCTGGGAGGATGGCGGGGTCAGGATTGGCCACAACAGACACAGGCAGAGGGTGGGGCCCAGAGATCCTGCAGCCTCTTAAACTGGGGAGTTTAATTGGGATTAGCACCAAATTTAAAATTTCATTTTGTTTCTCTGACCAGCTAAATAAGCAGAGAAATTTGGGGACAGGGAAATAGGTATCAGACTGCTTTACACATTCCTGTGTTGTGCAATTAAATGAAGGACGGATACGTAGCTTGTCACAGGCTCCTTCCGCATGTGAAACAGGAGTGGTTGTGTTGGAGCCCTTCGTAAGTGTTGTTTGTCGTGGGGTCAGAACTGGAGAAGGTACTGGCAGGGTATGGACACAGCTCGGCCCCAACTCTGTTGGAGAGTTCTTGGTTTAAAGATCTGCTCTGGTAACTAGCACAGCATTCGTTTCTCCCGTCCCATAGCTGCGCAACAGTTTAAGCTGCTCTAAGAGGAAGTGGAGGCTCCTAGTGACTGAGCCCTCAGTACCCTGATGCCAGCCTGCTCATGTCGGCACTTCTGGGTCCTCAGCAAAGCCACATCCTGTCCAGGGAATCCCTGAGCACAGCCCACACCAGCCTACAGGAGGCTGCTGGGTCCCTTCCTCACGTCTTTGAGTCACTGATTATGAAAAGTGTGTTTCCTTCCTGTCTCCAGCAGATGAGGGCTGGGTTTAGATGAGGGCTGTCTTTATTCCCTGCTCTGTCCTGGGATCTTGTTCTGGGGGGCTGGAGAAATGGCTCCTCCCTGACAGCCCCCTCCTTGATGCACGGGTAGGATCAGGCTCCGTCCCATGGGGGGTGCTGTGCTCAGCACTGTTGGGTGCCTTGCCTGCCAGATTTTAGATTCCGGCCTGGGGGAGAATAAATTTCTGTGCTTTGAAGCCACCCAGTTTGTGGCAACTTGTGAACCTAGTGCAGAGAGCAAGGAAAGAGTCGAGGATTGCTGGAAGTTTGGGGTCTAAGCAACTGGAGGTGGGCAGTGCACTTAATCTGCATGGGGGACACGGGAGGACAGGGGGCTCTGTTGAGCTGTGGGCTCCAGAAAGAGCCATGGTCAAGTGTGGCCTCAGTGCCTTGGGAACATGAGCTGCCCAGTCTCCATCAAGACCTCAGCAAGGCTGCTGGGGCCTTCGTGTGCATCTGTACTCAGTGACCCAAAAAGAAAGAGGGACCAGAAGGCCCCATTTGCACCCCACCAAGCCTGTCTTGGACTTCATTCCTGTGACCGGTTTGAAGATGTCATTAGAAATCACAGTTCCATTTTTTTTTTTTTAAGAAACGCACTTGGCTGCAGTGACTGGTGTCCCCGCCTCCCATAATGAGTTGGGCTACAAGAGTCCTTGAACAGAGACTGAGTTTGAACTGATCAATGGCATTTGGGGGTTGGAAAATTGCTCAGGAGCCAGCTAATTTATAATGTCATATGGGCTAGACTGGAAGACCCAAGAGGATAGGCTGTCTCTTGGCTTTTTACTTCTCCTTTTTTAAAAAGGAAAGAGAAAACACAAAGTGCCACATTTGGCTGTTGAGCATTCAGAGATGCTCTGCCCTGGGTAGACCATCTGGAGACGGGGCTGTGCCTTCTCCTGCCCCTCTCCTTCCCCTCGACCTGGGCAGCCGCACCGTGGCTTGGCGGCACATGCTCCCACTCCTGCACTCTGTCCTTTGCCCTCCGCATGGCCGCTCCTTCAGTCACCCAGTTCTGGCTCTAATTTGCAGAGGACACCTGTTCCTTAATTAGCCCCAGCTTGCAGTCTGCATCTTCATCTGGGCTCCCTTTGATGGCGTGAGCTCACAGCCCCGTGGAAGGGCTGCTGTTTGGCAGTCTGCGCACATTTGCTGAGACTGAGCGGCCCTGAGCCTTCCCAGGCAGTGCGGTCCATCTGTGCTCCTGAGCATCGAAGAAAAAGAAACCACACACAGCCCAGCCACTGGCCAGCGTGGACATCACAGTTGTTGGCCAAATCTTCCCAAAGAGACCTTTGCTGCCAGTTTGTGCTCTGCAAACCATTCAGTTCGGACCTACTGTCCCCAGAACTGGGTTTGAGAGCACTGCCTGGGTGTGGACCCTCATGCTGACTCCTCTAGAGGCATATTCCCGCCACCCAGTGGGTGCCTCACATGACTGCTCACTCCACCTTTTGGAGATGTGTCGGTGTGCTTGGTCTCTTTAAATAGAGGGATGCTGTCAGCGGGCTGGGATTCTATCCATACAGAGTTTTATAGAACGGGGCCTCATGTGTCCTAGAATCTTGACAAAGATGGACTCGGCATCTGAGAAAGGGCCCCTGGAGGACAGGACCCGGGCAGCCTGCAGTGGCACTTTCTGCCCGCCTGGTGGGGGCCCTGCTGCCCCCTGTTTTTCTGTCACAGGCCTAACAACCAGTCTTCAGGTTTCTAGGATGAGATCTGACCTCCCACATGAGCCACCCCCCAACATGATTTCAGTGTGGTACCTACACCTGGAGTGCCATGTTTTCAGCTGGAAGTGTCAGAGGTCAGAGGTGAACCCCCTAGACACCTGGGCACCCCAGGAGTCCAGTTTCCAGCAGGCCGTGGTTACTTGGAAACATCTGTGGCAAATGGCTTTGTGTTTATGTATTCTTCTACCTGACATCTCCCTCTCCATCCTTCAAAAGAGAAATTCATCAGTGGAAAGTTTCCCTGAAGTGGTAATTTTCCTAAATGACTTACTGATGGTGCTGCATACAGACTTGCTCCTCTGGAATCGGTGGTTCTGCATGTGTTACCGTGTCCCCAGCTCCTCTCCCTGGGCTCAGAGGGGACTGGTGTGGGCTGCCCATTGCCTTTGCAAGGACAGTCCCCCCCTCTGCCTTCCCCTGTCCCCTGGAGCCTGAGAGAAAGTCTTTTCCTTCCTCCTCTCCCAGCAGAAGCGAACTGGTTCTGGGGCCCCGGCAGAAAGCTCTCCTCTCCAGAGCCCTCCCAGCCTGGTGACTGCCTGGGCACCTCCTCCGCCCCAGCTGATTAGAGCCTTTCCTTAAGCAGCACTTCGGTCCTTCACATCACTCATCCTCGCAGTAATAATGGACTTGGATAAGAGGTCACAGCTTCTCCCGCATGCTGCTCTCCTTGCTGGCGGGGGCGGGACGGGCTCAGCCCGCTTCTGCGGGGCTCCCACCTGCCAGTCACGGGGACTGGCCTCTGGTGCAGCAGCTGTGATGGGCATGTCCGTATCTCGGGGCCAGAGCCACTCCGGAGCGACCCCTCCCCACATTCGTCCAGGCTTCCAGGCTGTCTGCCGCATCTCTGCGAGCGTCATTAGCATTAACGTGATAAAATGGCACAGTGTAAATGTTAATAAGGGCTGATGTCTCTCGCTGCTTCCGAGTGGCAGATTGGAAATGGTACCATCATCTTAACTCCAACGAGCAGCTTTTAATTCCTCTGCTCCCTGAGCAGCCAATTTGGCATGGAACTCGTAACCTGCCCTCGGCCCCCCTGTTTTCTCTCACCCCCATTTCCTTTTGCAAAGAAGGTTCAGATTCCCACAGACCAGTTTTCTGAGACAGTTTGACCTTTTTTTCCTTTTCTAGGGTAAACACTTTCCCCTGTTCTCCAGAGAAAGGAGAACCGAGGGCCCCCATGATGACAGGCACCCCCTTCTCTGACTGGGTCCCCGCCACCCCCAAACTGCTTCACTCCCGATTTTCTTAGATGCAGTTCCTGCTCTTTCTCCTCCAGGGCGTTTCGCTGGGTGACCTGCCCCAGAAGCCACTGACTTGTTCTGTAGGCGTCCCCTTGTCTTTAAGCAAAAAACGTGGCCGCTGCACGACATCCTGATCAATGCTTCCCTCTCCAGCCCTCCCGAAGGGGCATCCTCTCTACTGCGCAGCTTCGTCAGGGCTCCAGGGGCCCCACCTCGCTGTGTCCCTTCTTCCCAGTAAACTGTGAGAGCCAGGGGCACGTCTGTGTTGCTTTTGGATCCTTATTTTCCTGCCATTCCTACCTAAACACACTCACAGGCAGCTCGGTGCTGGGCACGTGGTGCTCACTTGGCGTCTGCTGACTGGAGCCGGTGGAAGGACAGTGGTGTGGAACAGTAAGCGTGAGCAGAGGCAGAGAAGCGTGGCTCTGGGTCTCTTATTCCACCCCTGGCACTTGGCACTCACCCAAGGTGTTCGACCCCAGGGAACCTCTGCCCCTCCTGGCATGCCCCTGAGTCAGGCCCCGGCCTTAGCTGCGGGCAGAGGCTGCGTGAATGGTGGTATCCTCCCCACGCAGCCGGGCTGCTGTGCGCAGCCAGCCTCTGCCGTGCCCTTACTCTCGTTTTCATCACCCAGGCTGTCTTCACTCTCCTCCTCGGACCTTTCACCTTCTTTGATGTCCAGAAGACCAAGTACCTGCAGATCTTAACCTCTCTGATGAGATGGATCGGTGAGTCTGAGAAACATCTCCATTCTCTGCCCTGTCTCCCCTTGTCCCTTCCTTGGCCTTTTCTGAGAGGCCAGGCTCCCAGCCCTCCCTGGAATGTGGCAGTAGTTTCCATGGACTCGGGCCTGTCTGGTCCTCCAACCTTTCCAGAGGACGAGGAGGAGGCAGGTACTCTGCCAGCCAGCCTTTTACTGGTAGGGAAATTTAGTACCAAAAAAGAAAATTATTTTTTCAAGACCACATAATGTAGATGGAGGTGGGGCCAGGGCCCGGGACTGCTGATTCTGGGACCAGCCCCTTTTCACACGTACACGTTGGATCCCCACTGACCCACAGGCTGGCAGTAGGGTCCTGAAGGCCTGGGTTGGGCTGTGGCCCCTGTAGGGCACGGGAGCAGCACGGCGCTGCGTTCTGCCAGGTGACATCTCACAGCGCAGCACAACCATAAAACCCAGCAGGCCGTGGCAGCAGCCAATCTCTGCCTCCAAGTCCCCAGCCACCAGGGCATGAAAAGATGCCCCGTCCATGTCGTCTCCTAACCACATGATGTCCTGCGAGTAAGGGTACCATTGTCCTCAGCTGGGGCTTGGGGGTCTCTCCCCGCCAAGCCAGGCTGTCAGTAGGGAGCTTGTTCACTCCTACCCTAGGGAGGGGCCTGGTGCTGGTCAACCTGGATTGAGGACAGGAGGGTGTCCTGGTGTCGTTTCCCCCCCCCCCCATGTCACCAGTATGCACTCTGGGCATCAGTTGGGTGCTTGTTTGGCCTTGTCTGAAAGCCGAGAAGGCTGCTGCTGTTAGACAGAGGGGCTTGGGCTCAGTGGGCGTGTCTAGCCCCCAGGTGTCTGGGCACCTCCCGGGAGCTCACGTGTCTCAACACAGAGGCTCCAGAGGAACCGGGATCAGGGTTCCTCCCTCCTCGCCATTGCCCCTGCCCCCGGCCCCCTTTCCCACTGTTCGACCTCCCACCCTCACCAGGACTCTGGGTCTGGGTCTGTGCATTGGTCCTGCCTCCATGCTGGGACTCAGCAGGTGGTCATGATGCTCTGAGGACAGTTTCTGATCCAAATGACTCCCATAGTTCTGGCATCTCCAGCCCCCTGGTTCCCCAGACTCGGGGGATTTCAGGATCCTGGTGTGAGGAGCTGCCGTACACAGGAGTCCTGGCATCTATAGCTGGAAGGGACTGGCCCCACCCCTGCAGGAGCAGTCCCTGTAGCACAGGGGAGAGGCTGGCCCCCGGGGCCTGGAGTGCGAGACTAGGTAAAGCTCCCGCTCTGCTCTGAGTGCTGGAAAGTTCTTTGTCTGGAGCCAAACCCGCCAGCCTATAACTTCTTCCCACTCTTCGTCCGTCCTTTTGAGGAAATGAGTCCACTTCATCCATGAACTTCTGGGCCTCTAACTTGAGGAGCCTTTTTGTCATCCAGCTGACATGAGGGAGGACACCTGTTGGTACCTACACAAGGTGGAATTCCTTGTCTGTTCACATACTCACCCGTGGGGTGCTGTTCCCAAATTTCATTCACAAGTCCCAAAGCCCTGGGTTAGACTAAGATGACCACCTGGGGAAATGAGCACTTGTGACTTAGAACATGAGCATCACACGGGCTGAAGGACTGCTGTGGGAGTGGAGCCCCCCTGGGTGCTAGGAGGGGTTGTATCTGGGAATCGGGGTCAGCAGAGATCAGAAACGCAGGCTGCCCACCCTTTTGCTTATTCCTCTGCTGGTAGGAAGTGTTTGAAAGCCCTGGTGACCTGCAGAAGGAGTTTTCTCAGTAAAGCAGTATTTGGGGAAAAACATTCTCCTGCCTCACTTTCCTGGCCTCAGTGTGTCATGTGGCCACTGTCGCTCTCAGCAGCTGGGTCTGTAGCCCTGAAAGTCTGGCCCCCACCCCGCTCGCATTGGCTGTCCTTGGTGTGCGGCATCGACGGTGGGAAGCTGGGAGGGGGCTCCCTAGGCACTGGGCTGCTACCTGTTTCCTTTCCCTCGTCCTGGAGGACAGGAAGGGGTAGGGAGTGGGGGGGACGCTCCTGCTTTAGCTGGCATGTCAGCCCAAGAGGGGATGACAGCAGGATAATGACAGTTAATGGCCTCTGTAGACCCCTGCACCTGCTTAGTGCAACAAATTTCTCTCTGCACCTGGTGAGCAATAGGTACATTAAAAGGGAGATGTTGTGAAAGCGAGAGGGGGAGGCTGACGGGAAGTAAAGAGCGGCTGTCTCAGGGCAGGATATGAGCTCTACCCCAGACTTGGGTCGGGGGAGCCAAGCTTGGTGGCCAGCAGCGACAGCTCTCACTCCCTTTCCATTCCACCATGGGAGGCCTCTCCTCCCCCCCCCCCCCCCCAGTCAATGGGCTGCTGGTCCCCTCCTCCTCCTGCGGGGGCAGCCAGCGGCACAGTGGCCCTGGGACTGCAGTCAGACTGTGAGCCCAGCCCCTTCCTCTGTCTGCTCCGTGAAGAGGCCCTGCACCGCCCCAGCACCCCGTGGTCTCTCTCCCTGAGGCTCCAGGGCCCTCAGAGGCAGCCCCTGCTGTGCTGCAAAGTGAAGTGACAATGGCCTCCAGAGAGAGGCTCTTGGCAGCATTGGTAACTTGAGGTAGAGACCAGCTCCTGAAGGTCGTCAGTACTTGTTTTTTTGGTGGTGACATTGTTGTCTTGACATTGTTGTCTTTGCAAGTCATTTACCTCTTTCTCCCTTTGATACAAGAGATAATCAAATGTCAGGAGCCTCTCAGGCGAGTCTTTTCTCCAGAGTGCTGCTGTGGGTGACAAGGCACAGGCAGTCATTTTTCTCCATGAGGGAATCAGACCTCCGGGCTTGAAAAGCAAGCCTCTGTGACACAGAGCCCTCTCGGGCGAAAGAAAAATTGCCCAGTTAAATAAACTCTAACATGCGGCTGAGTCTGGGGTTTAGTTCCCAGCTGGTGCGTTGGAGCCACCTGGGCATTCTTCTCTGCTCTGGCTGGAGGTGTTTCCCTTGTCCAAACACCAGGCAGCAGTGTGGGGAGGGGAGGAAGGCGATGGAGATCACAGAATCCTTGGAGCCACCAAGGAACACAGAACAGGCAGCCCCGCTTATGGGAGGGACCTGGGTGCAGACCCCACTGAGCATGTCCCTTGTCTGGGCCAAGCTCACCCCAGGCAGCTTTTCTAGAACTGCCCTAAAGGCAGTGACCTCAGAAGCCCACTTATATTCTCAAGTCTGCGCCAAGTTGTCAGTTTGCAATGAACTCCCTTTTCATTTGCCTCCAAAGCAGCTGTGTGGCAGTGTCCCCACTCTCCCCTTCCCACACCCCCGCCCGCCTCGCCCAGATCGGGGCTGTGCCTTTCCAAGAGCCGAGCAGCGCTCGGGGGGCAGTGACAGGCTTGGGTTCCAGGAAGACAAAGAGGAAGAACGAGCACCAAAGGGACCGGAAAATCATAAATAAATGTGCTGAGCCGGAAACTTTCTTGTGCTTAATTAGGAATTTGTTCTGCCATCTGTTGAAACGAGGCCGGGGGAGATTGCGGGCCGGAGCTCTGCCGGGAGCCTTCAGGCCAGCTCCTCCGAGAGCTTTCTCTCTGCCCTCATCAGCCTCCTCGGCCTCAGAACCCCCCTCGTGCTGCCACATGAGACTGAAAGGGTTAAACGACCTTTGCAAATAGTCACTGTCCAGGAAAACTGCCAAAATATGGATGACAAGTGACAATACCCATTCATTTCTTACGTTCCCCCAATAAGTTCTGAGGAGCCCAGCCTGGTCAGTTTGGGGTACCTGGGACTTTGGGGTACCTGGGATGCAGATGTCCCCGCATCTGCGTGTGTGAGGAGGGTCTTAAGTGTGCTGTGCCCTGGCCTTAGCAGTCGCCGGTCAGCTCCCCTCGGGCAGCTGCCTGGCTCACATCTGCCGCGGCTCCTGAACTCAGGAGCTTCAGGGCTGGGGGCTGGTGTGCAGCGGTGCCACGCATACCGTTGTCACACCTCCCACCCGGTTCCCTTCAGCGTGGGTCAGACGGTGTGTGCTCCCAATGCTCACCGACAGCCAGGGTCCCCGTCTGTTGGTGGCAGTGGAGACTCACCTCACTGAGCAGACTGTGTCTAAAGAACTTACTAGCACGGCACTCTGGGAGGCCGAGGCGGGTGGATTGCTCGAGGTCAGGAGTTCGAAACCAGCCTGAGCGAGACCCCGCCTCTACTAAAAAGAGAAAGAAATTAATTGACCAACTAAAATATATATATACAAAAAATTAGCCGGGCATGGTGGTGCATGCCTGTAGTCCCAGCTACTCGGGAGGCTGAGGCAGAAGGATGGCTTGAGCCCAGGAGATTGAGGTTGCTATGGGCTAGGCTGATGTCACAGCACTCACTGTAGCCTGGGCAACAAAGTGAGACTCTGTCTCAAAAAAAAAAAAAAAAGAACTTACTAGCACAGGCCCAGCACCCAGTCAGCGTTCAGACCTGAGCCTCGATGGGCATCACCCGAACTGTCATTCCGAGAGTGACCTCAGAACGAGCCTCCCTTGGGGCTGGCCGAGGGACTAGGAACTTCAGCCACCTCCAGAGAGAGCTGTGGTGCTAGGCATCACACTAGGTCTCCCAGGGAGATCTTGATGCCCCCAGGTTGCCTCTGCACAGCCTCCCGCCACACCCCCACGGTGGTCCCTGGTGCACACTGGGAGGGGAGCCCTCCCTGCACCATCACCCCCAGCTCCCACCCCCACCCCTGAGAGGGTGGAAAGCAGGCCCCTCTCACGAAGGGGCAGGCTCCCTCTCCAGCTCCCAGCTCCCTGTCAGCAGCAGGTAGACTCGGGTTGGGCGAGACGCAGGAAAGGTGCTGTCTTCGTGCCCGCAGCCCCAGCGCCGGGGCCTTAGAGCCTGAGCCTTAAGCAGCTAAACGATGACTGTAGGCTGTTCCCACTAGGGCCACCCAGCCGCTGCCCAGCTGGGCCTCCTGGGCTGGACGGGGCCGGGGTGGCATCGTCACTTCAGCCCCATTACCAGCTTTCCCCTGGCAGATGCCTGCA